AGATAATTATAAATACACCCAACGGAGTTATTTCAAGTAAGTAAATTTAGTAGTATATAATATGCAATTACAACTTAACGTAAATTGTAAAAAAAAATAAAATAATTTAACAGCAAAAGCTAGTAAAAATCATAATAGAAAATTAGAAATATACGACGTTTATACAAATTATATATATTTTATGTTTTTATTGGGTATACTCAACTTAATTGACACAATAATATTTTGATCATATTAGGAAAGCATTTTTTAACAATTTCGAACATAAAAGGATTAAATATATATATATATATCTGTCCAGTAAAATTTTAGTTTGTTGGTAGGTATGTACTTAGTAAAATACCCAGTAAGATATATAACAATAGTAAACAATCAGCTTTACAGAGAACATGGGAAAAAATCGGTACTTTAAAATTCAAACACATTAAATAAGTATTTTGAAACATAACATTAAAATATTTATAGAAACATTAGAATATTAATACTTATAATCCTCGCTTATATATTTATAATATACAAACAAAATTAATCATTGACATTAATTAAGAACAATTATACAAATATTTTAATCGATAGGTACCTAATCAAATTTAGAACTAAATGTCAAAATTATTCTTAAGTTATTATCCACTGATAAAACACAGAATACCATATGTTAGCATGTATAGCCAAATATATTAAAAAACAATTAGTAGGTAAATAATTACTTATACCTTCTTAAAAACAATAATTATTGACAATTTACTCAAGAACTTATCTTTTGTTTTTTAGATATTTCATTTTAAAAGATGTACATTTTTATTTTTACCTAAAAGTATTTTATAATATTTTCACCAGAATACTCGCTAAGGTAGATACTCAATATTTACACAAAATTCAAAATTATTTACACACAAAGAATTTTCACTTCAACTATATTTTAAATGGTATATTATAATATTATAATATTTAATATAATAAGGTATATTGCTTTAAGTCTGTTACATACTTATGCTTTCATTTTACGATGGGGACAGTTGACAATAATACATCAAACAATTCCCGAACTCCTCAATAATATTAGCTAAGACTTAACAAATACCTTTTGATTTTGTTCAAACTCTAAAACGCATTTTTTGATTATTTGCTTAGAGTAGGTAGGTACAGCACGTATACATTTTTTGCAATTGTCCTCTTTCAGAGACCTTTGAAAATATATTTTCACATAAAAAATGACAAGGAATATATCCCTCACTTAAAACCAAACAGAGTAAAAGACGGTTGTTGTGATTTTTTTTATTTATATAAATAGGCACCCAAAGAATATTCACACAATAGAGAAAAATCAATAAGGTAAAATGTGGGATAATTATTACGTAACACATCCTGAAATAAATCATGCTATACTTAAACAATTTAGTAATTTTACACTAAAAGATTTTGTTTAAATTCACGAGTCAGTTGTTTTCAAAGAATAGATATAAACCTACATAAACATGTGTTCTTATACAAGGTATATAAAAACACGTATAACGTATTTCTATGGCCAACTAATTGTGTTTTGGTTAAAATCACGCAAACGCTTTATAAGCAATATCATTAACAGTGTGAAAACGTTTACATACTAGCTAGGTCAGCTATTCTTATGGACAGATTTTACAATATCTCGCAAAATACACAGTGCATGTTACAGAACCAAAACATAAGTATTTATTTTTTGTTTTTTTTTATAAATGTTATTACAGAATCAACTTTAAAGGTTATTAATTCAACACAAATAAAATGTATATAGTGAATATGTGTTGAATGAGGTTTGGGTACATTAGAAGTAGTAATAATCGTAGCAGGTGTTTAAAATCTATATAATTAATAAAATATATTATATTTTAAACTAAAACCATATAATTTTGACTTAAATTTTATAATCTTATTTCCGAAAAAAATACCACACAATTATTAGCAAATAGGCATTTCAGGTAAATATTATATAACATGATATTTCACTTTTAAAATTAATTAAGAAAATATTTACAATTATCTAATGGGAAAAAAATTAAACAAACAATTTTTACCTAACTATAAAACTTTGACAATTTTTGTGTAAGTTCCACTGAGAATAAAATTATGTATTGTAACATTCAAAATTCAAATGTAAAGGAATAATATCCGAGGGCATATCCTATCTCCAGAGACCACCCGTCAGTATCAGAAATTTTATAAGTACTTATTGTTTGTTTATGTACCACAATTTAAGTACCTATTGAAATAATTAAAGATATCAAGCAAACCAAAATAATGAGAGTGCCAACCTAAATATAATCAAAAATATAATACATTTGATTAAAAAATTAAGTTTAATGAAATGTAGCATATAGAAATAAATACAATGCACTAAAATAGCAAATAATCTAGAAATTGTGAATTTCTGACTAGCTTAACTTGTAATATTATGACAAAAACATTTGTGAAAATATCTATTCTAGAACTTTGTAAGTTAATACCACAGCATAATATAGCATAATACCTACAATATGATATTTATTTTTCAAAATTGTAATATTGATTTATTTAAGATTTTTTTTAGTTACGCCCTTATTTAAAGATAAAGCTGTTTCAACGAACTCTCTTCGACAAAAGGTTTTTAAGATGAGAAATTCATATCTTATGATGAAAAATTGTTTATAATGAACTACATGGGCAAGACAGGGCATTCCCCCCCTAGAATTTTAAATTTGTAACCCAATTGCAATAATTTAATGTATTAATGACGAAACATAATAATGTACTATAAATAAAATACATAAAAAAATCTTAGTTTATTTTTTAAATTAATTTTGCCCCCCCCCTTAGAAAAATGTTTGGGGACGCCCATGGTTAACTATCAAACAATTCTGCGGTTATAAGTCAAAGGATTGTAAGACACATAAGTGAAAAAAATATGGTAATACCTACGAAATTTTAATTTATTTTATGTGCCTAGGTACAATAGGTACATGCTACATGTATGACATATTGCGTAATCAAATCCTACAAAACGGTTAGCATGTAAAACAATAATAATAATAGATAAGACGGATGATACGATATTATTAAGCCATGCAAAACCATTATACTAAATAGTGAACACTATATTGTTATAACGCAACGCCAAGATTGTTCTTGAATTAAATATAAGTTGGTAGTTGCATTGAATATTCATAACAATCCAAGAATAACGACATTTCTGCTCTAAAATTAAATACCTTATATATATTTTAAGTCTACGATCAATTATTATTTGTAATTTTATGATAATAATATACATTAACAAACATTTACGTACACGCGTACTATATTATCCACTAGTGAATACGAATAATAATGTAATAAAATAACATAATGTCTAATATTATACATACAAATTGAAATGATTTACCAAGTGACTTACCTACAAAATATTTTACAATAGGTATATTTGTTGTGTGCTATGTTTTAATATTATTTTCGTATAGAAGTATCTGTATCCCATAAAATACCAAACCCTACGTCGCCGAACCTCATCAATTAGAAACAGTGACATAACGCTACAAATGAGCGTGCGTGATATTATTTTATGATTCTATTGCTATTAATAAACGATAGATTTAATTTTAGTGCGGTGTGCAGACAGAATAACTAATAAAGAGAAATAATACGTTTCAATGTCATAAAACATAATTGATTGTAGACGTTGTATAATCAAGGCTTATCAAATTCATCAGTAGTAGGGTATCTAAATCCGAGAAAACAGGATCGTTTTTAGAGAATCCTAATACAGACGTCAGATTTCATTATACCCGATTATAGGTAATACAAAGATATACTAACAGTAATATATTACTTAATATTTTAGTTACGAAGACTTGTAGACCACTATACAGTCTTACTCCACCAAAATGTATACTTTATTTTTAAATTAAAAAAAAAAATTCAAATAAATACAAGAACAGTTTTTGGAAATCAAAGACGATCGACAGTTAACGTCTATATTCATAAAATCAATTGGTGTCGTACTGTCGTATGTACTCAACATCAATATAAGCAAAAACATAATATCATCATGTCTATTATGTACAGCCGCGCTTGTTATTAACAACTGACGTCAATAAATAAGCTATTTTTGTTTTAGGTAATACCACAGTTTACTTTTATTATCTAAGCAATAGGCATTGATTTGATTTTTTTTTTAAATGTATTTTTAAGAATCATTCATATTTTATATACTTTTCAGGTGCATATAATATTTGTCAAGTCGGCTGCACATTTTATATTGCCTATTGCACAGTTAGTGAATTACTGTATCTATAGCCTGATGTCACAACAACGTCCAATAAAAACAAATACCATCAACTACAATAATGTTCAATAATAATACTATGATAATACGTCGTTCCACGGCTAACACCAGACTACTCCGCGTTGGAAAACGGGGGTTTGGTGGTTGGTGTCTTTTTTTGGTCCCCTCGCGTATGGCGGTCGGTACCTAACCGCCGATTGCTGCGGCGACACGCGGGGGACAGGTGTTCGGATCACGTATAGGTACAGAAGCCCACAATAATATCACCGCCGTTACATTTAAAATTAAAATTATTATTGTTATAGGCAGTCATTCATGTCCCAAATGTTTAACAGTTTTTCGAAATAGGTATGATAATAAAATTACACAGGTAACGACGAAGCACGTCGGTATAGCGAGCCGCCGACACGGACGTGGCGTGACGACGGCACCGATTCATAACGTAAGGTAACCCGCGTCTGTTCGACCAAGGTTACCCCGTCACCGGTATTAGGGCGACCTTAATAATAATATGCGCCGAGTAAAAGTGTAACGAGCGAGCAAGTCGCGTTTCGGCTACGAAATCATTACCGATTAGCCGATATTGACGAGACGAGGCTATTAATATCGTGAAGCCCGTCGAACACGATTTGGTCGTCATGCCGTGAAAAAAAGACGACGGAAACAATAATATTTGAATAGAAGTATCTAACCTGACGGTACTCACCGGCTTTGGCGGGAAATTCGTTTGAATAGTAGACGCTCACGGTTTGTCGTATCCGTAATGCAGCGAGTGTCGACGTACGCGATTTTCACGGTGTCAGCGGTTTGGGAAAATAAAAACAATTCCAAAAACGACCAAACAGACCAAAAAATATATTCACACGAACCGCACTCCACAAAAATGCACGGCGACGAATCAGACGCACATGGACTCGGTGAAAACGGACGGACGGACGCAATAACACGCGGTGTGGCGCACGGAGAACACGACGATAACCGTTAACGACGGTGTTGCCGGACGAACTGATGCCGCGCGCTCACTAACCGACTCGGCACTGTTAACCGGCCGGCCGGTGTCGTGTCGGTCGCCGTCGACGGCGTTTATTGTCGGTGGGTGGCTTCGACGGCGGTTGCAGTGGGTGCGCGGTGGTTGGGATCGGCGTTCTTGCTCACACTCGCTCATTCTTTCTCTCTCGCGCTCGCGCGCGTCGCTCACACGACAGTCACACTCATTCAACGTTCACACTCGGTCGCTCTCTGTTGCTCCACCGCCGCAGTCGTGCCACAACACGCACGCGCACGTGCTACCGTACGCCGTCGCCGAAAAGACGGTTTTTTCAAAGTCTTTCCATCGCCCCAGCGTACGACTCCCTTCGGCGCTTTTCGTTTCATCCGACTTAATAACATTATTAGTATATCGTGTATAAATTATGCAAGTGCAGTTTCAGGGTAGGTGGCGAGGGTTTCCCTATAATAACAAAAATCATTCCTCAATTTCTTTCGGTATAACAAACATTTTGTAAATTAATGTAAGTCATAATTAAGTAGTTTATAATATTAAATATATCGAGTGTTCACCTTGGTGTGTGATTGAAATGTTACGATAAGAAATTATGTATTAATTCAATGAATTATTTTTCCGAACACGAGAGCGACTGCATTCTCTCCATAACCTAATGCAGTTCTGATGACTTGATGAATTCACATTTTACAGAGAAATTTATATTTATAATCGCATAGGTAGTTTATGTTTTACACATATTTATTTTAACCAAAAATAGACACTTATATTTTATAACGTGAAATATTTGTTTTGGTTTGCCACCCAACTCCCAAATCTACCACATCGGATCAAAAAAATATTTTCCTTTAACTACACCTGTATACATTTACTAAATACTTAATAATAATTTGAATTTTTATTTTTCACAGAGCCATCGGTCGTGTTACTCAATTCGATACGATCGATGATAATATTATTATCATCGTTTGCATCGAATAATTTTCTGTACCTGCCTACCTGTATTTGAAATTTATAATATCGTATTATTTTTACTGCAGAAATGAGACCGTGGTTTGTAGTTTTTTTAACCGCTGTTATTATACATTTACGACATATCTACCACCCGCCACTGGGCACCAAAACCGAACGGTATTTGAGCATTTTAAATTATTATGTGCTGCGAAAAGAAACTCCGATGGAATTTAATAAAACTGTCAAATTGTCAGTTGATAGGAAATATCTATAAAAAAAAAATCTATAGGTACTTATGGAAACATTGTTAAGATTTGCTTGAAAATCAAATATAATATTCTATAATATGTGTATATACTTACATCGTATTATAATATTATACGTTAATATACTGTATTGAAACGATATTTTATATTTTTTATTATTATTTTATACACATTATTTATTATTAACGTACACAATTTTATTCCCTCAGACATTCGAAAGTCATAAAAATCAATTTATTAATTTTGTTTTAAAGCGTGCAATGGAATGAATTATGAGGAAATTTTAAATATTTAACAACATAATATTTCCCTTCACACTTTAAACCTTAAAATCCCAAATAAATATTGAAAATTAAATATCTAATTAAATTAACCAGGTATTTTATATACCTACCAAAATAACATGTCAGACAGTTAATGATCTTAATGAAAAATGTTCAGATAAATTAAATTAGTATTTAATAATTCATAGAACAATATAACAACATGAACAATTCTATCGTCTAAATTATTATTGTTATGTGTATAATTCACTAATAAACTATAAGTTTATACTGTTTAGTGTTTATAGATCTATATAGGCTCAATGTTATTGTAGTGACAAAATAACGACTATATATGAATTGAGAATTGATAATCTTCAACTGTATATTACATTTTATATTTTTATATTGATAAGAATAAAAATAAAATAGCACATCACAAAAATGTTTACAAGTGTTTTACATAATATGCCGTAAACCATAGTTCCATGCTTATATTAATAATTATATTATAGTACTTGCACAATTCTTCATATAAATTAATTCATATATCAAACATATCAATAAAATTAAACAATGAATAAAATAGATAATTTAAATTATTGTATAATTTAAATCGTTAATCAGCGTTACGTTTTTAATTTATTTCTATTTGATATAAATTAAATTAAATTAAGTACTTTTTGTATTAATTTATGATAAATTTAAATATTTATAACAAACCATACACAATAATTTAGTAATATTTTATATTTCATATTACATAATATTATGCGTGTGTCTGGAATAACAGTTAACTATTAATATTTAATTAAATACTAATAATAATAAATCCAGCTTATTATACATTATATATATATATATGTAAAATATAAATGATAAAATTTCAATAAAAATACAAATAGTTGGATAAAGATTAAATGCAACTAAAATATCTATTTCAAACGTTATCTGTGAATCTGTCCATAATTAAAATAACAGTAATAATAGCTATGATATTGTAGAAAAAAGGGTGGAGAATAAGACAGGCCAGAGGATATATATTTCACCTGAAAAAATAATAATTATCAATCAGCAATGACATCAGACATTACCACACAGTGTAGTTTGAAGTTGTTTAAGTTGAATTAATATATTTCCAAAGAAAAAAAAAAATGAGTAATATCAAAAATTTTGAATAAAACTGTCAGTGAACAGTGAAATGTCAATACTTGAGGTGTGGATCTCAAAAAAATAAATATGTTTCACATAAGTGCAATATTTAAATATAGACATAGAATGCTTATAGTTATATTAAAAAAATAAATTGAAAAATAAGGGCGGAAATACATCATAATATTTTTTCAATGGAAAAAATTATCAAAACATTTTGTATATTATTTCACATACCTTCGAGGCCTCAACTCTCAAGTATGAAGCTCCCACAATATATTAATTTAATTAATAATTAAAACGTTATTTTTATACACTTGGTCTCTATAGATCTATTCATGTCTTTTATTGTATATATTATAATCTATATACAATGTGCATATATATTATATCTTTATTTTATTGAAAATGTTTAATATCCCAGTTAAACGGAAAATGTATAAATTGTTGATTAAAACAATAGTATATTTTTATGCACTAATAGAATTTAAATCTGATTTAATATATTCATAGAATTGTATAGGTATACAACTAGAAAACAGATATTATCAACATATTAAACACGCATATATTGTCAATAATAATAATATGTGCATTAAAAAACTTACAAAGCATAATATTCAATATATATATGACCTATATTTTAAACAAATAACAATTATTTACAAAATTGATTCAAAATATATTCAATGATATAAAATCAAAACTTAAGTTCCAATTAGACATAATAATATATTATTAAATTGACAATTACATACACGATATGTACAGTATAATCACGATAATAAAATCTACGATTATAGTAAATATAATTTATTAAGTAAAAACTTTATTCGTAGCTGATCGTGGTTCGTGAATGCATACCTTTAATTTAAGTGTAATTATTTCTGGAGTATATTCAATATTTTAAAAAGTAACTTGGAGACACAAAAAAGACGAATTCACGATAATTTCAATGGTTTTTTTACGTAGGTTGTTTTATTTTCTCGTGCAAAATAATGGGAATTTTACAATTTTTATTTAATCAAAGTACAATCTAGATACAACTTCCAATTGATTTCATATACTACATGGAACTTTTGTAGTACGTTTATTGTACTCTAAAAGTATTTTACTAAAAAAAGTATAATGCACCATTGTAAAGTCGATAGATTTTTCGCTTTGCTTGGAATATAAAATGGTTATAAGAGTGAGTGACAAAAATAAAAGAGATAAAAAATTATTCAAAATTTAAAAATCCGGTGGCTTAAATTGTTTAAAGGAATGATAGCTGATAGGTAAATCATTTTATTTAATGTTTAAAATATTTAATAAACATGTAACACAAGATTATTGTATAAATATATCTGTTAATTTAATAAATATATTTCATAATAATACTTTGAATATATACATCAAGTGTAAACAAATATTTGATTGAAAATTTCTAAAGGTAATGGTGTAAAATTAAGAATAGTGCTTTTGTTTTGAATAAACATAATACCACTCTGTATTTATATTAATTGTAATTATTATTATAAATTATAATTAATAATTATTATTTTAAAAGTTTAAAATATTAAGACACTTAGTTTCATTTAGTGACAATAAATGTATAATATTATAATATGATACATTTATTTATTTATTTTTGTTAAAACTATTTAAATTGTATTAATTATTTTGTATATTATAAAATATATTAAAATTTTTAATGTCATCTGCATTTTGTTAAAATGAGTTTTAATGATATTTCGAATAATATTAAAAAATGAAGTCAATTTCTAAACAAAAATTTAAATACACAAATTACAGAGAGTAGAGACAACACTATCCACTAAATTACACTATACACATAATAAAATTAGATTATATTTTTTTTAACTGTTGTTTTATATAAAATGATTAATTCAAGGATATATTAAACTTCAGCTCTTAAACTTTTAATTTGTTTATAAAATATAAATGAAGTATGTACTTAATTACATTAATAGTGTTTATAATTTAAATTTAAAACAAGATATTCAATAGTAATAATTCTGTTTGTTTAATAAAGTACAATTTATTATTTTATCGACAATCAATTTATTTAAGAATAATTTTTTTTTTTTGTAATCAAATATTTCGTTATTTAATATTAACATTTATGTTTAAAATACTAATAACTGTACTCTGTTGTTTTGTTATCTGTGTTAGCTGTTAAAAAATAATATATTATAAATGGCAATAAGCAATCAAAATGTTTTTAAGCAGATTGATGACGGCAAATTTGATGGTGGCGTTGATGGGTTTGGGGTCCTGATTGAATAATTCTATACCAATGATTCTGTGAACTTTGAATTTTTCTTATTATATTATATAGGTTAGATCATACAGCAATCAGCAAAAATATTTTTAATAATTATATTA